CATTAGAATCTAGTTAAGTTTGTTCTGGATAAGGAAGATAAAAGTGTTCCTGTGTATTTCCTCTTATTTAAATTTTTATTTGCAGTTATAGTGTGTAATGTGTCTTTTAATTATGTATTGTGTTTGTGGATTATAAGGAATGTCTGTAATCTGTTTAATAGAGAATGAATGTAAAAATTGTTTGAATTGCTTAGAAATATAGGCAGAGTCATTGTCTGTTTTTATAGAATTAGGTGTTCTCATTATCGTGAAGTAAGTTGATAGGTGGGTTATAACATGTTGTGTAGTTTTACCTTAGAGAGGTGTTACCCTAGAAAAGAAGAATTTGTATTGATTGAGACATATAAGAAGGAAGAGGAAGAAAGTTCAGGACAATGAGTTACATTTATTTGCCATAAAATTTTCTTTCATTTGTCATAAGCCTTTTTAAAATTCCAGCATTAAATATCTTTAAAAGTTAAAAGGCCAAAACAAAATATGATAGCACAATAAACAAATGCAATGTTTATTTCAAATAAACACATCATACTTTGTGGTTTTCATTGTGATCTACCTAAGTATTTTAACTGCATTTTCCAATATTTTTGCAGTCTGAATGTATCTGCTGACTAAAGTTAATTCTGTTAAATGTTGTTTTCCCAGAATTTTTCTTTTGTTTCTAATTTGGTTTAATTTGGAGAAAGAACATCTGCTGTAGCTAGAATGACAATGAAAAACTAGTTTAATAAAGCTTAAGTAAATGCTACTTTATTTTATAATAAATGTTTCAACAATTAAAAAAATATTTTTGTATTCATCATTTTACTTGCCATTTCTTATGTCTTTCTACTAAAAGCATATATTTTACTTTTCTATAGCAACAATGAAATGTCTTGTATGTTAGTATTTTATAGACTGTTGAATATATTTATCAAATCATATTATATATATATATCCATTCCTATATAAATATATATTTATATTCATTAACAGTTCAAAATCTCTTCAGCTCTTCTGCAAGAAAAACCCCTTGTAAGAGAAAGCCAATGTTCAGCAATTAATGCTTCAAAATCCTACTTCATTTGGAAATGACCCAGCCATTCAACAAACTTCCACTATTTAGTTCAGTACAACTCCAGAAACCTAAGTCACTCCAATCCTAAGAGATTGTTTTAGATTATAGATAATAGATTATTCTATTAAAAATATAATTATTTCTAATAGAGCTTATCTAAAAGTTTTCATCTCATTTATATATTTGTATATATATATATAAAACGTTACCTTTTTGCTGACAAACTTAGTTTACCTTAAACCAAGGCATAATAAAAGTTTTATATAATGTTGATGACTTAAGACATGTCTTAATTAGATTAACAAATAATTATATTTAAATTATATTTATATTTAAATAAACATTATATTTAATATTGAATACTTTTCAGTTCATGTGAAGTTGAATTTAAATAGAGCTTATTAACTTTATATTATCCAAAAACAAAGACATACATTGAGACATAGATAATTTTAGATACATAGTTCTCTGTTTGAAATTTAAAATATCTTTTTGTTTTATTTATTTATTTTGAGCTCCACCAATTTGTTAATGGCTGGAGTCCTAGATAGAATGGGCTGTATATCCCAAGGACATGATAAGAGTTAACTTAAGGTTTTTTTCTTAGGCCTATTTTTGTTTCCCAGGCAGAACTGGAGCTCCAAAAAAATATTTTAACAAGTTAACCTTTTCCTAACTGCACGTGCAAGAAGAACCGGTTTTGCAATTTCAAAAAAGATTTTATTTTAATCAGTTTTCTCTGGCGTCTAAAGAATATCATAGCCATTCAGTGTCAAAAATATCATTTCTCCTTTCTGTAGCTATAGTATATTATTAATGATACATGCATGAGGGAATTGCTGTCACATAGGAAGTAAAGCCTTGGCTACAAAATTTTGACAAATACTAGGACTGTTATGGAGAAGGCAATGGCACCCTATTTCAGTACTCTTGTCTGGAGAATCCTAGGGATGGGGGAGCCTGGTGGGCTGACATCTATGGGGTTGCATAGAGTAGGACACGACTGAAGTGACTTAGCAGCAGTAGCAGGACTTTTAAGCATACCTTGAGGTAACATAGTCTACTGAAATCTTTTATGAGGCCTGATATGGTTAGGATAAGGGAGAGAGAAAGTGAATCTCTCCCGGTCTAAAGGGTGTAAAGGTATATTAAAAAAGCAGTCTGGTGAATCAGTAATAATAATGTGCCAATTTTGAGGAATAGTAATAGGTGATGGGATCTCTGGTTGAAATGCACCCATAGGTTTCATAAAAGAATTAACTTTTCTAAACTCTGTTAAGAGACACCATTTGTTATATTTCCTTTTTATAACAAAAATAGGAGAGTTCCAAAAAGAGCAAGATTCCTCAATATTTTTCAATTTTAATTGTGTGTTTATAAGTTCTTTAGTAGCTTGTAATTTTTCTTTCTAAGGGGCCTTGCTTTGTCCAAATAGGCTCATAATTTTTCTCAGTTATTTTAATAATTGTTTTGTTTGTTAAATGAGCAGTGGCCCCTAGGAAAAATGTGGAATGCATATCTGAGTTTGCCATTGCATAAGTAAGTCCCTTCCTATTAGATTAAGGGGTGCATCTATCACATAAGGTCTTAATGTTGTAGGTTGGCCTTTTGGTCTATCATATGGGTAGATTTGAATATTTTGATAAATTTCTTGTACTTTGGTTTGAGAAATTCCTGCAATTTGGCAAGAGACCTTTTGTATAGGTCAGGATTTGGGCCACAAGTGTTTGGAAATAATAATATTAGATCCAGTGCCGAGGAGACCAGAAATCTTTTACCATTAATTTTGATATTTATATTTGGTCAGACATATTTAAATACCAATGATGTCCATAAGGATTGTTTTTGATCTGTATTGCCAAATCTGCCTTTCCGTACATTATTAGAGGAGTTAATAGAAATGTAAGGCAAAAGAAGTAATTGAGCAGTTTTTCCCCCCTTTTGAATTGCCATAGAATCTGAGCTGACATCATAATTTGAATTTCTCCTTTATAATTTGAATCAATTATTCCAGGGTGAACAGTAATTCCTTTAGAAGCCAAATTAGATCAGCCAAGTAAAAGACTGAAGGTTTGCAGGGGCAGGGGTCCAAAAAGTCCAGTAGGTATTCTAGAAGGGACTGCTTAAGGGTAAAGGGAAAAATCATTTAGGGCTGGTATATTAATGGCAGCACTGCTGGACGTTCAGGGTTTGAGGGAAAGGATAGAATTTGCCCCTAGTTTTTGTTGTAGGGGACCTTGGAGGTCCCCTGTTTGGAGTTTCCTGGAATAGGTTTTCCTTCAATATCAAATTTAAATTTACTGTCTTTGGCCCAATGCATTCCTCTATGGCAGCAAGGGCAAATTCTTGGAGGTTTTTTATTAGCCTTCTTAGGGCAGTCCCTTTTTAAACGGTTTTTATCTCCACATGTAAAGCAGCCTTCATTTCCCTTTTTAAAAGGTAGTAGCCATTGTTTCAGCTAGTATTTGCAACTTTTAAGCTTTTGATCCTAGATTGTGACAAGCCTTCAAATAGTCAATAATAGTCCTAGTCTCACAAATTGCAGCTATAGCTCTTTGACATTTCTGATTTGCATCCTCATAAGCAAGTAATTTCTCTAGTTGTTTTTTGGTTTCTTCTCCGATTACAGTATGGGAAATAGCAGCTTCTAATCTAGCTTAAAAATTAGCATAACTTTTCATTAGGTTCCAACAAAGGAGAGACTTTTGGAGTTGTGACTGTTGGCAGAGGAGAAGAATTTGGAGCAGCCGAGGCAGGACTAGTAAGAAAATTTTGAGATATTTTATATTGTTTTAATTGGGCCTTTTGTAAAGTTTAATCATTTAATTTATATTTATGTAATAAGTGTTCTGTCTGTTGCTGAATATTGGAAGGGCTAGAATGTACCTTGAAATGGCAGAATTACAGCTTTAATAAGAGCCCATAGGGGCTAGAGATCAATTGGAATATTTTTTCCTTGTTTGGCTGCTCATTTAACATTTTCTTTGACCTGGAGCCAAATTTCTAAATCAAAACTGCATTTATCAGGAAACTAAGGATTATGTTCTACTACTGTTTGAAGGCAAGCCTCTGTTCACTGGCGTGAAACCAGAAGTCCCTGAACTTTAGACAAATGGTGAAGTAAAGTAGAAAAATAATGGGGCTGGCCAGCCGTTTGACCCATGCCCTAGTACTCACTGACCTAAATAGGTCCCTGAGTCACTCCGCCCGACATGCCACGTATACCAGTGTCCCTGTTTGGGCACCATTTGTTGGGATCCTTTAATGGACCAGAAGCTGGTGGTATGGAGTCGACGATAAGAAAGTAAGAGAGAAAAAGAGAGAGAGAGACAAAAAAGACCCGGGGACCTAAGCTCTGATGGAGTAAAGGTGCTTTAATGATTTTTCTATGAGTATATATAGGCTGTGGTACAAGAAACTTCTTTCGGGAATGATAGAGATCAGAAAACCACACGTACAGCAACCGTTACTAAGGGAACATGGGGTAATGTTAGTCACAAGATCAGGAGACAATCCATATCTCAAGAAAGGGGAGCAAGACTAAGCAGTTTTGTCCTAAAGAGAATGTTTACTAAAGGAGACCCAAGCCTGCCTCACACAATGACCTCAGTCCGGGAGCAGTGTGCTGTTCTGCTTGAAGAGGGACAAAGGACTCATCAGAGACAGCACTTAGGAATCCTCCGTCAAACACTCCCTGACATAATGGAACCGCTTACTGATTATTGAATGTGAGCTGAGGCAGGCGACTCCAACATAACATCTGTCATGTTTCTTCTAATCCATTTCTTCTCCTCCTTTTTTTTTAAAAACAGGGCTTGGAGCAATAACCAACAGATTTAAAAGTGTGCTCGAGGCTGATCAGAGGTTTTATATCCAAAGAGGTATTGAATTTGGCACTGGCCAGAAAGTTCCTGAGAGCAGCAATTTTGTACCATTTCCTCAAAAAATGGAGAGCAGAGACAAAGCTGAGACAATCAGGTATGTCACTGTGTGCAGTCTGGGTCTTTCCAATCCCAGGTGCTCTGATACTCTGCCCTTTTACATGGAAAGGCGCTTCTCCGAGAAACCTCATTTGATGGCCATTCTCCCTAGTGCAAGGTATTTGTGTTTTTGCCACACCATGTGGGATCCTAGTTTCCCCAACAAGGGACCGAACCCTGCATTGGAAGTGCAGAGTCTTAACCACTGGACCGCTAGGGAAGTCCTGTAAGGTACTGTAAATGGTACAAACTACTCACTGTATAAAATGGTACTGACTTGGTGGTGAGCTTAATGTGAAACTGTAAACCCATGACTTGGCTACAAATGTGAAAGCAAGATTCCATTTACCCTCGGAAGTAGAGTAGAGGTCTGTGTCCCTGGCTCTGTCATCTGAAGCCTCCCAGGTATGCTATCCACTCCCTGCCACTCATGGGTCCACTTGTTGCTTGTTGATGCTGAGAAAACAAGAAGAGGGATAAAGTGGGGAAGTAGCTCTTAGGATAAACAGGACTTGTGTTCTAATTCCTGACTTGTCACTGGCAGGGTGACCCTGGGCGAGTAACCTAACATCTCTTGACCTCAGTTTCTCCAACTGTCAAAACCAGGATTAATAGAAAACATTCATTTTTGTTTTGTGGGTTCCTAAAACCATGCTGAGTATTTTTGAGACATTTAATCAAAATGTAAGGAAGACGCTATGATTGTCCTCATTTTACAGATGAAGACATTGAGACTTTCAGTCACTCAGGTCATTTTCCTAATGTCATATCAATGAATTTGAATTCAGATCTCTTTGTTTCCACAACCTTAGTCACTAGGCTGTTGAAAGTGAAAGTCACTCAGTCGTGTCTGACTCTTTATGACCCTATGGACCATACAGTCCATGGAATTCTCTAGGCCAGAATACTGGAGTGGGTAGCCTTCCCCATCTCTAGGGGATCTTCCCAACCCAGAGATCGAACCCAGGTCTCTCACATTGTGGGAGGATTCTTTACCAGCTGAGCCACAAGGGAAGCCCAAGAATACTGGAGTGGGTAGCCTATCCCTTCTCCAGGGGATCTTCCCCACTCAGGAATCGAACCTGGGTCTCCTGCATTGCAGGTGGACTCTTTACCAACTGAGCCATCAGGCTGTTGATAGTGGGTTAAATGATTGCTCTAATACCTCTCAACTCTAAAGTCTTAGAATTTTATGATTTAACCAAAACCAAAAATGAAGAAGGGGAAGACAAAAAGAAGGCAAGTGCAGGCAGAAGGCTTCCACCCAGCGGATTGGCTTGGGAAGGTTAGCTTTTCTTGGTCTGCATCTGTTTTTTCTCAGGAGACACAGGAGATTGGATGGAGGCAGAGGACAGGCAAGAGCCCAAAAATGAGAATGTTCTGCTAACTGTCCAGGCTTCACAGCAATGAGCAATACCCTCCCAGGCTCTAGCTTCTTGTGAGATCTTCGCTGTGGGTTTGCTGTGGAGGGCAGGCACCCCATCAATGTGGGTTCTGAGGACCCACTGCGACACTGGCCCGGCTCTAAATAAGTGAAGAGCAGCTCCTACCCCCACTCCCAAGGCAAAGAAAGGTGGTTTTATCTTGAAACTAATGATCAAATGGTTTCGCTGGTAGCTCAGTGGTAAAGAATCTGACTGCTGACACAGGTTTGATCCCTGGGTGGGGAAGATCTCCAGGAGAAGGAAATGGTAACCCAGTGTTCTTGCCTGAGAAATCCCATGGACAGAGGAGCCTGGAGGGCTATAGTCCACGGGATTGCACAGAGTTGGAAATGACTTAGCAACTAAAAAACAACAGCAATGATCAAAGTGTCTAAACCTAATTTTGTGTTTATGGCTTTGTATTGTTTTCCTTGTAGAACTCCTGTAATCAGCAGAACTACTTCTGCTGATTACATAGTCTTCAGGTATGGCAAGGCTATTCTTATTCCGATATTTTTGTTTATGAGAATGCAAGTCATTGAAATAGACTGAAGTAGGGCTCCTTAGCTTTAAAAAATATGGACTTGTTTTAAAGTAATGTTGAATTCAAGTCATTTTTCTAGACTCTTCAATAGCTTCCAGAAATAAGATTCAGAAAACTCACCCATTAGCTATGCAGTTTTTACCAAACTGTGGAAGGCACTATGGAAGGTTTTTGTACTCCTTTAAAAAATGACTCTAGTGTTTATCCAGTAAATGGTTGATAGCTATGAAGCTCTTATTTAGGGCTGATCCATGGTCAGTGAGTTTGCTGATAATCATTTCAGTTCAGTTCAGTCGCTCAGTTAAGTCCGACTCTTTGCGATCCCATGAACTGCAGCATGCCAGGCCTCCCTGTCCATCACCAACTCCCGGAGTCCACCCAAACCCATGTCCATCAAGTCAATGATGCCATCCAACCATCTCATCCTCTGTCATCCCCTTCTCCTCCTGCCCTCAAACTTTCCCAGCATCAGGGTCTTTTCAAATGAGTCAGCTCTTTGCATCAGGTGGCCAAAGTATTGGAGTTTCAGCTTCAACATCAGTCCTTCCAATGAACACCCAGGATTGATCTCCTTTAGTTAGAAGGAATGTAGCCTCAAGTACAAAATGTCCCTCTTCAAAAGAAAACATTAAAATTACCCCTTTGAGGGGACTTTCCTGACCATCCAGTAGTTAAGACGTTGCCTTCCAGTGCAGTGGGCCTGATCCCTGGTCGGAGAGCTAAGATCCCACATGCCCCATGGCCACCAAAAAACCAAAACATAAAAAACATACTGTAACAACTTTAATCAAGACTTTAAAAATGGCCCACATTAAAAAATCTTTCAAAAAATTGCTGTTTTGTTGTTTCTCTTTAAATTAGCAATTATTAACATAAATGCCCTAATACAAGCCAAGGAGTTCTTCTCCAAAAGTTATTCTTCCCCCCAAGAAAGGTTTTAACTTATGCTTAAGTTTGTGTAAAGTTTCTCATAAGTAGTAGTGTTCTATTATTTTATCATGAAAACCAAAATCCTCTTTAAAGAATACATGTAAACCTGACAAAATCTCAATCATTGTTAGTTTTGGATGCTTGTAGAGATCAACTGGGGGTGCGTCCCCAGCAGTTCAGCTGGTAAAGAATCCACCTTCAATGCAGGAGACCCCGGTTCAATTCCTGGGTTGGGAAGATCCCCTGGAGAAGGGATAGGCTGCCCACTCCAATATTCTTGGGCTTCCCTGGTGGCTCAGATGGTAAAGAATCCACCAGCAATGCAGGAGACCTGGGTTCGATCCCTGGGTTGGGAAGATGTCCTGGAGGAGGGCATGGTAACCCACTCCAGTATTTTTGCCTGGAAAATCCCCATGGACAGAGCAGCTTGGAGGGTTACAGTCCATGGGGTCACAAAGAGTCGGACATGACTGAGTGACTAAGCACAACACAGCCCAGAGATCAACTGACTAAATGGGAACTTAAGAAAGAGAGAGGCAAGACAGATTTAATCATAATAGTAGGGTTGATTATCTCACATTTGGCAAGACTATATAACTTTGTAAATAATTTAATGATCAACTTGAAGACTTTACAGGAAGTGTTTAAATTATGGATGATGCAAACGTATATATATTGAATGTTTTGTATATATATTTATGTTGAATATATATATATTGAATTTTTTAAAGAGCAATTATCTGGAATACTAGGTGGAAGGATAGTTGGACACTGTGGTGAAGTTTCCAATGATTATATGCAGATACAAAAAGGTGTATTTAATTAACACTCAGAAGGGAGTGAAAATTACATGTTTTGGAAAACTTACAGATGACCTGAAATCATGAAGACTTTGAGATAAAACTGTATAGATACAACTATTCCCTGAATTGGGAAAAAGGTGACTTCTAAATTAGCATGTCTATCCCTTTTAAATGTGCATATGAAATGTACTTCCTAAATATTACATATCGATACTTGACTATTTCACTTACATGTATCAAAGTTTATATATACTAACTATTAAAAATGAATCCACGAAAAATTTTTTTGGCTGTTCTTGTTGGAAAAAAAAAAGGCAATCCCTTTATATATGAATACAGTCTCCTTATAATGAATAAAAATTTCTGTTAAAACACACATAAATCAGTTAGGACAGGTGAACTTACTTTACATCATGTTAAATATTTGAATTTTCTCCCTAGGAATGAAAAAGTTGTGAACTGCTTATACCAGAATCGTAATGCACTTTTTAGGCTGGTTTGCTTTCCTTGGGGAGGAGGTGGCTCCACTTTCTTTGCCAAATGGGGCCAAGATATTCCTAATTCTGTGGAAGGTAGGTGAACTTTTACAGTAAGTAATTTGCACGGTCAGATAACATGCACATACAAACAATACAGATTTCCTTACTGGGGGATAGTTAATATTAATAGACACTCAAGATTGCTCTTCAATAAGAGCAATTTTGTGATTTTTCTACTTCCAGAGTAAGAAATTCTGCTATCTTCTGTTACCGAATTAAGCATGTTATACCATTTGTTAAGGCCAATAGGTCACTGAGATTCTGTTCAGACTCTGTTCAACTTTTTTATGCCCCTTGTCTCTCTGTCCATTACCCTGTCTGTCTTAGGAATTTTCTTTCTTTCTTTTTTTTATTGTTGTTGTTGTTTAGTCTCTAAGTCATGTCTGACTCTTTTGCGATTCCATGGACTGCAGCCCATCAGCCTCTGTCCATGGGATTACCCAGGCAAGAACACTGGAGTAGATTGCTATTTCCTTCTCCAAAAGATCTTCCTGACCCAGAGATCGAACCCACGTCTCATGCATTGGCATGTGGATTCTTTACCACAGAGCCACCTGGAAAGCCCCTGTCCTAGGTACTTTCTTATTGGTGGACTGTGAACTTGAATTTTTTTCTCACAGCAGCATGAAAGTGAATTAAACACCCCTCTTCTTTTAAGTCATTTTCTGATTATATTTTCTTATTCCCGGACATGGGTAGCTTAAGATAAGTCAAAAGCCTTGAGGGACAAAACACTCTACCTCTTACCTCTCTGAAACTGTAAGTCGCTCAGTTGTGTCCAACTCTTTGGGACCCCCATGGACTGTAGTCTGCCAGGTTCCTCTGTTTGTGGGATTCTTTAGGCAAGAATACTGGAGTGGGTTGCCATTTTCTTCTCCAGGGGATCTTCCTCACCCAGGGATCGGACCCAGATCTCCTACCTTGCAAGTAGATTGTTTATAGTCTGACCCACCACAGAAGTCCCTTATATCTGAGGTCATAGCATCTAATTCTTGGCTGACATTGCAGCACTCTTTTCCAGCTTTTGGCTCAGCTGGTAAAGAATCCACCTGCAATGCAGGAGACCTGGGTTCAGTCGCTGGGTTGGTAAGATCCCCTGGAGAAGGGAAAGGCTACCCACTCCAGTATTCTGGCCTGGAGAATTCCATGGATCATATAGTCCATGGGTTTGCAAAGAGTCAGACACGACTGAGCGACTTGCACTTTTCCAACTTTTCCCTCTCTAGCCCTGTGGGAATACATACAGTGCTGCTGACTTCTTGGCCTCTTAAAAGTAAAGCAATTATATTCTAACAGAAACTTAAAAAGAAAAAGTAGGCCTCCACCTGCAGTCTAGAACTTGCAACCCGTACCAGGTAATTGACACATCTCTACAGCAGGAAAGAGGCTGGAGAAATCGCACTTCACTTCTGCAGAGTTTTTCTCTCTTCAGAGAGGTCCAGCTTGCCCCAGCAGTTCAATGATGCCTTCAAACAGGTACTGTTCGTGTGTGTTATTCAGCTTCCCTACCTGTTCAATGAGAGGATTTTTCTGCTGTAAGACATTAAAAAAATTTTTTTATTGGATTATAGTTGATTTACAAAGCTGTGTTAGTTTCAGGTGTGTAGCAAGGGGGCTCAGTTATACCTCGATGGACTCTTTTCTTTTCTTCTTTTTTTACAGACTCTTTCCCCACATAGGCTATTACAGAGTATTGGGTAGAGGTCCCTGTGCGATACAGCAGGTTCTTATTAGTTACTTATTTTATATTTAGTAGTGTGTACATGTCAACCCCAGTCTCCCAATTTATAGCCCTCTTATCCCTTGGTAACCATAAGTTTATTTTTTCCATCTGTGACTCCACATCTGTTTTGTAAATAAGTTCATTTATAGTTGTACAGATTTTACACATAAGCAATACCATATATTTGTCTTTCTGTGTCTGACTTCACTCAGAGATTGTCGTCTCCCCTACTAGGGCAGACGACAATCTCTGAGTGAAGTAAGTGTCTCAAGTAAGTAAGTGTTATCTTCACTAGAGATGACAATCTGAAGGTCCTAGGTCCTGGAAAGTTGGTTCAATAGCGTAATCTAAGAAACCATCAAGTATCAATTACTACTGCCCTTTCAATACTACTATTTTGAAATATTTGCTTCAGATTTTATTTTTACTTTTGATTAAGATCTCTATTAATCTTTTAAAAATACAACTATTTTTAAAAATGGTTTAGATTTATGGAAAAGTTGCAAAGTTGTTCTCAACTATCCTCACCCAGTTTCCTCAATTATCTTGACACACAGTTTCATGTTATTATATTTCAGGGACATTTACATGGATTATAATTTCAAATATTAGTTCTTTACCAGTATTTTAGTTTGTTTACCTTTCTTGAGAGTCACCATTTATTCCTGTGTTGGAACACTTTCTGCCTTTTATGATTATCATCTTCTTTTGGGCTCTTTTCCTTTTTTCTTTGTTTTCTTATTCCCAGCTCTTTTATTCCTGTCCTCCATATCCATTTAAATACATTGCATCTATTACCTCACAGATAACATTCAGTCATTTTAAAAATAATTTTTGACCCTTTAATCAATTTCTTTCCAGTATTCTGTCAGCCCTTTGTGCAACTGTCTGACTATTTCTGTTCAGAATTTTCAATTTCTGAGTTACAGTGTTTTTTCACGTCTGCAATTTCTCATTTGAATTTATATTAGAGTTTTGTATTGTTTGCTTTGCTTTGTGAGCTTTTTAAGAAGCACGTTCAATCATTAGCTGAAAAAGTTTGACTCTTACTTCCTTTGTTTTGTGTGTTATGCTTCTACTCATGATGAAGTATGTTGGATTTTCCTGACCCACAAAACCAGGTCATTCTGGAACTTTGAGATGTTTTGAGGAATAAAATCAAGTTCTTAAACAGTGGGACTCATACACTACATTTTTGTAAGGAGGGGATGAGGAAGGAAATGAACTTACATTTAACATATGCATAAAATACCTTTCAAGGCTTATATTAATAATTGATACCTTTGATTGCCCTTAGCAGCAGCAGCTGGATAACTAGGTGGCTAAGAGCAAGATTTGGAGAGATTCTTGCATTGCAAGCCTTTTCGTACCTCTTGAATACTGAACCATGTATGAGTTTAACTGCCCCGGAAATTTTTTTAAAAAAATCCTGTATGAAAAAACGAAAAACCACCCAGGTCATCCAGCAGGGGGTGCTGCTGCTGCTGCTAAGTCGCTTCCGTCTGTGCAGCCCCAGAGACGGCTGCCCACCAGGCTCCGCCGTCCCTGGGGTTCTCCAGGCAAGAACACTGGAGTGGGCTGCCATTTCCTTCTCCAATGCATGACAGTGAAAAGTGAAAGTGAAGTCGCTCAGTCGCGACCCAATGGACGGCAGCCCACCAGGCCCCCCCGTCCCTGGGATTCTCCAGGCAAGAGTACTGGAGTGGAGTGTCATTGCCTTCTCCGTCAGCAGAGGGTAGCCCGAGGCAATTAGTTGCTTACTCTGTTTATTAGTTCAAGGGTGCCCTCTTCTGTCACTATAAGTGAAGTGCAGTTTATAAATAAAGGACACTGTGGAGTTGGGGGGTTCATTCTTCTGATTCTTTGATGATCTGTAGGGCTCGTATCTTCAGTCACTTCCTTCTTTATTTTTGCCATCAGGCCTCCAAGGGACGTCCCTCCCTTTCCAAGGTGCCTTTCTCAGCCACTACAACTCTGCTCCCCTCATGCTTTCCAAGCCCCTTTCTCTCCATTTCCAGGCACCAACACTCTGCCATGGAGGTCTCCCCAAAACCCATGCACTAGAAGAAGAGAGCCCTGTTACTAATATATAAATATATTTTACAAATTATTGAAGGTAATTTCATATGAGGTTTTCAATCAACAGTTGACAGTCTAAGATAGATATTTCACATACTTTTCTGACTTTATATAAATGTAACAGACTGTAAATGTTCCTCTGAAGCTTGCTTTTTTCTTCTCTGTTTTTTTGAGATTCATCCCTTGGATATGTGACTCTCTACTTCACTGACTTTTAACTAGTATATATTATTCCACTGTGTGACTATATGTGTCTAGTCTTCTCTTTATAGGTATTAAGGTCTTTTTCTGCTATGTGTAATAACTTCTGTGAGCAGTCTCATATACAATTGACCTTTAAATAGTGCAGGGGTTAGGGATGCTGAACCTCTGCACAGTTGAAAATCCACGTATGATGAGTAGTTGGCCCTCTGTTTTCAGGGTTCAGCATCTGTAGAATTAACCAGCTGCATTTCTTGTAGTACTGTAGTACTTACTATTGAAAAAAAAATCTGCATATAAATGGACTCTCCCAGTTCAAACTCTTGTTGTTCAAGGGGCAACTGTATGTGTTCATGCATGCATGGGTAAAAGTCTATACTTAAAGGTGGAATTTCTGGGTATTGGAATAGGAATGTCTCTACTTCAAACCGTCCTCCAAAAGAACTGCAAAGATTTATACTGCCAAAGCAGCACATGAAAATTCATATCCCTTTATATCCTTGACAACACTGTTATTGCCAAGGCTTTAAATTTTTTGCCAATCTGTGCATGAAATTATTCTGATTTTGTTCTATTATTTCCCGTGTTATTTAGATGTAAATGACTGAATAAGCTTGGGGGCTTCCCAGGTGGCGCAGTGGTAAAGAATCCATCTGCTCAGGCAGGAAACTCAAGAGACACAGGTTCAATCCCTGGATTGGGAAGATCCCTTAGAGGAGGAAATGGCAACTCACTCCAATACTCTTGCCTAAAAAATTCCATGGACAGTGGAGCCTGGCGGGCTACAGTCCATGGGGTTGCAAAGAGTCATCACGACTGAGTGACTGAGTGCACGCACACACACACACACACACACACACACACACACGCATGCACACGGTGAATAAATTTAAGCTGAGCCACATAAATTCACATGTATGTATTGTGAAATGATCGTCATGTAAGTTTAGTTAACATCTATCCTCTTAAATAGTTTCAGTTATCTTTCCTGTGATAATTTTTTGGATCTATTCTCTTAGCAATTTTCAAATATGCAACATAATATTGTTAACTAGTCACCATGTTGTACATTATATCCCTAGAATGTATTCATAATAATCAAAATAGTATCCTCTGGCATAAAAACAGACACACAGGCAAATGCAATAGAATTGAAAGTCCAGAGATAACCTTCCAAATACATAGTCAACAAACATTTGATAAGAGCGATATGAAAGTTGTTCAGTTTTGTTGGATGCTTTGCAACCCTATGGACTATACAGTCCATGGAATTCTCCCAGCCAGAATACTGGAGTGGGCTGCCATGCCCTCCTCCAGGGGATCTTCCCAACACAGGGGTTGAACCCAGGTCTCCTGCATTGCAGGTGGATTCTTTACCAGCTGAGCCACCAGGGGAGCCCACAGAAAAGACAGTCTCTTCAATAAATGGTGCAGGGAAAGCTGGATATTCACAGAAGAATGAAACTAGACCACTCTCACCACTCATTCAAAAAATTAACTCAAAAAGAATTAAAGACTCAAACATAAGACCTGAAATCATAAAACTCCTAGAAGGAAACAAAGAAAAAGCTCCTTGACATTAATCTTGGTTACAATTTTTCAGAGATGACACCTACAGCCCAAACACAAAAGTAAGATAATTAAACGAGATGACTCCAAACTAAAAAGCTTCTGCACCACAAAAGAATCAGCAAAATGAAAAAGCAAACAACCAAATGGGAGAAAATATTTGCAAATAAAACCTCTAAGGAGTTAATAGCTAAAACATATAAGGAACTCATACAACTCAATACCAAAAAACAATGATTTTAAAATTGAATAAACAGAGGAACTGAAGGGATATTTTCTGAAAGACAACTTACAAATGGCCAACAGGTACATGAAAAGATGCTCAACATCACTCATCATCAGGGAAATGCAAATCAAAACCACAAGGTATCACCACACACCTGTTAAAATGACAGTTCCCAAAATGACAAAAAATAACAAGTGTTGATGAGGATGTGGGGAAAAGGGAACCCTTGTGCACTGTTGGTAGGAATATGAATTAGTGAAGTTACTCTGGCAAACAGTATGGAAGTTCCTCAAAAAATTAAAAATAGAACTACCATCAGTTCAGTTCAGTCGCTCAGACGTGTCTGACTCTTTGCGACCCCATGAATCACCTGAATCACCTGAATCACCCTGTCCATCACCAACTCCCAGAGTTTACTCAAACTCATGTCCATCGAGTCGATGATGCCATCCAGCCATCTCATCCTCTATCGTCCCCTTCTCCTCCTGCCCCCAATCCCTCCCAGCATCAGGGTCTTTTCCAATGAGTCAACTCTTCGCAGGAGGTGGCCAAAGTATTGGAGTTTCAGCTCCAGCATCAGTCCTTCCAATGAACACCCAGGACTGATCTCCTTTAGGATGGACTGGTTGGATCTCCTTGCAGTACAAGGGACTCTCAGGAGTCTTCTCCAACACCACAGCTCAAAAGCATCAATTCTTTGGCACTCAGCTTTCTTCACAGTCCAACTCTCACATCCATACATGACCACTGGAAAAACCATAGCCTTGACTAAACGGATCTTTGTTGGCAAAGTAACATCTCTGCTTTTTAATATGCTATCTAGGTTGGTCATAACTTTCCTTCCAAGGAGTAAGCATCTTTTAATTTCATGGCTGAAATCACCATTTGCAGTGATTTTGGAGCCCAAAAAAATAAAGTCTGACACTGCTTCCACTGTTTCCCCATCTATTTGCCATGAAGTGATGGGACCAGATGCCATGATCTTAGTTTTCTGAATGTTGAGCTTTAAGCCAACTTTTTCACTCTCCTCTTTTACTTTCATCAAGAGGCTTTTTAGTTGCTCTTTACTTTCTGCCATAAGGGTGGTGTCATCTTCATATCTGAGAACTACCATATGAGCCAGCAATTCCACTTCTGGGTATATATCGAAAGAAACAAAACTGGTTATCTCAAAGAGAGAGCTACACGTCCCATGTTCATTAGAGCATTACTTAAAATAGCCAAGACATGGAAGCAACCTAAGTGTCCATTGATGGATGAATGATATAAAAAAGGTGATATCTAGATAGACAGATAATGAAATAATAATACTGAGCCAAAAAAAAAAAAAAGGAAATCCTGCCATTTGCAACATCATGGATGGATCTTAAGGGCATTATACTAAGTGAAATAAGTCAGACAGAGAAAGACAAATGCTATATGGTATCACTTATATGTGGAATATAAAAGAACAAATTCAGAGAACAGAAGTGCTTGGAAGAAATGGGTGAAGGTGGTCAAAAGGTACAACTTCCAATTACAAGATTAATTCCTCTGATTTTAAACAGAGCAATCCTTGCTATAGGTGCGACTGGGCGTTTTTCTTATATATATTGTTGCTGTTGTTTGGTCTCTCAGTTGTGTCCGACTCCTTGCGACCCCATGGACTCCTGCAGCATGCCACACCTCCCTGTCCTTCACAATCTCCTGAAGTTTGCTCAAACTCATATTTCTATTTATGCTTCCTTTCCTGTGAGTTTCTCATCAGATTCTTATGCTTACTTTTCCAATTGATTCTCTTCTTTTTATTGATGTCTAGAAATTCTTTACATATTTATGACCCTAATTTTTTAAGTAGTGTAGGTTAAAATGTCTTTCCCAGTCTATGCCATCTCTTTCTTCACATGTTGTCTTTTGATCCGTGGAAGTCTTAAATTTTAATATAGTCAAGTTTATCTCTCTTAAAGTTTGCACTTCTTACAGCTTACTTTAAAGAGTATACCCTGTCAGTCACAAAGTTATTTGCCAATATTTTCTTCTATCAATTTTTAAGCGTTTTGTCATATTCAAGCTAGAATTGACTTTTCTATATCATGTAAGAGCTAGGTATTTATTGATTTCACATGAATAATCAGCTGACTTGGTTATTCAGAGACCCACACTTTCCTTCCCACTGATTTTTAAATGTCAACACAGTCAAAAAGTAAGTTCCCACACGTATGTCGTCTATCTCTAAGCTCTCTATTCTGTGCCATTGGTCTATTTGCCTTTCTCATAAATTTAAGGCACTTCAATGCCTTGTCCTTCTCAGCCACTCTTGAAACTTGGTGTCTTATATTCCTGATACAAGCCACGATGGTGTGATCACTCACCTAGAGTCCTGGACATCCTGGAGTGCAAAGTCAAGTGGGCCTTAGGAAGCATCTCTATGAACAAAGCTAGTGTAGGTGATGGAGTTCCTACTGAGCTGTTTCAAATCCTAAAAGATGACGATGTTAAAGTGCTGCACTCAGTATGCCAGCAAATTTGGAAAATACTCAGCAGCGGCTTCAGGACTGGAAAAGGTCAGTTTTCATTCCAATCCCAAAGAAAGGGAATGCCAAAGAATGTTCAAACTATGCACAATTGTACTCATTTCACACGCTAGCAAAGTAATGCTCGAAATTCTCCAAACTAGGCTTCAACAGCACATAAACTGAGAACTTCCAGATGTTCAAGCTGAATTTAGAAAAGGCAGAGACCAAATTGCCAACATCCATTGGATCAAAGAAAAAGCAAGAGAATTCCATGAAAACATTTGCTTCGTTGACTATGCTAAAGCCTTTGACTGTGTGGATAACAACAAACTGTGGAAAACTCTTAAAGACATGGGAATACCAGACCACCTTACCTGCTTCCTGAGAAACCTGTATGCAGGTCAAGACACAACAGTTAGAAACAGACATGGAACAATGGACTGGTTCCAAATTGGGAAAGGAGTACATCAAGGCTGTATATTGCCACCCTGCTTATTTAACTTATATGCAGAGTACATCATGTGAAATGCCGGGCTGGACAAAGCACAGTCTGGAATCAAGATTGCTGTGAGAAATATCAGTAACCTTACATATGCAGATGACACCACCGTTATGGCAGAAAGTGAAGAGGAACCTCATCAAGACCCTCTTGATGAAGGTGAAAGAGGAGAGTAAAAGAGCTGGCTTAAAACTCAACATTCAAAAAACAAAGATCATGGCATCCAGTCCCATCACATCATGGCAAATAGATGGGAAAACAATGGAAACAGTGACAGACTTTATTTTCCTGATCTCCAAAATCACTGCAGATGGTGACTGCAGCCATGAAATTAAAAGACGCTTGCTCCTTGGAAGAAAAGCTATGACCAACCTAGACAGCATGTTAAAAAGCAGAGACATTACTTTGCTGACAAAGGTTGGTCTCTTCAAAGCTATGGTTTTTCCAGTAGTCATGTATGGATATGAGAGTTGGATCATAAAGAAAGCTGAGTGCTGAAGAATTGATGCTTTTGAACTGTGGTGTTGGAGAAGATTCTTGAGACAAGATTCCCTTGTTCTGCAAGGAGATCCAACCAATCAATCCTAAAGGAAATCAGTCCTGAATATTCATTGGAAGGACTGATGTTGAAGCTGAAACTCCAGTACTTTGGCCACCTGATGCAAAGAACTGATTCATTGGAAAAGACCCTGATGCTGGGAAAGATTGAGGGCAGGAGAAGGGGATGACAGAGGATGAGATGGTTGGATGGCATCACCAACTCTATGGACATGAGTTTGAGCAAGCTCCGGGAGATGAAGGACAGGGAAGCCTGGTGTGCAGCAGTCCATAGGGTCGCAAAGAGTCAGACACAACCAAGCGACTGAACAACAAGAAGCCATAGACAGTCATTCTGTTAGCATAGGCTCGTGCCTGGAATTTTTATTCCCTCTTATTTTTTCTCTCTTCTAGTTATACCATTTACCTTAGTGTGAGCCAAACTCTGCATGCATGTGATTCATCCAGTGTTTCTAAATGTTTTTTTAAAAATTCTAAATGTTGGAGAGTATTTTTCAGATATGTATTCTGCTGTAGCTTGTGTTCATTTAATCAGCAAATTCCAAAATTTTTCTCTCCTTACATTTGACTACTATTATTCACATCTTTGAAACTCTTCCCACCATATTAACTTAAGCCCTTTCACAGTATCACAGCAACCCTCCCACCATCTGCACACATTAACTGTCTTCCTTTACTTCCAGTGCATGCCATACGGCTTGCTGGGAGAGAAAGCCGGCTTGACGAACCTTTTGCAAGTGACATGAATCAGGTGGTTGATGAAATTGCCTGTGCCCTACTGCCAATCATCCAGGGTGAAAATTTTGCATTTTTTGGCCACAGGTATTTAACCTCTGTTTTTAATTTTTTTTTACTGTTGTTGTTGTTGTTTTTAAACCTCTGTTTTGAAAAACATTTGGGGGACTTTTTTCCACCACAGATCCATGGTTAATGTTGTCCTCTGTGTCTTATGGGATGTGTGCCTTTGTTTTAGTTTGGTTTTGATGTTTCACCACTGCTTGAAAGAATGATTCATTCAGTATAGTTAGAGATCTTCTCAAATGAGAAAGTCAGACTGAAAGGGGACCAAAAAGATGGAAAGGCCTAGTGCTGAAATGAACTGAAACCTCTCCTTCAGGTGTGTGTAAATCCTAGGCTTCTCTTGGTATCTTCTCGTTTGAAAATAGTCCCAGCATGTTGGGTAACTCTGACCAGCCACGGCTCTTACAATTGGCCAGTCTGTACAATCACCTGACTTTTTTCCCCTTTTAGGTAGAAAGCATTAAGGTTTGTAAAATCAAGACTCCAGCAGGAACATATATCCCATTTATTTTTAAAATATAAAAGGATATAAATAGTATGTATTTCTTAAGCTAGTCTGTAGAATTTTAAGGTTAAGTCATAAATATCAGAATTCTGTCTGCCTCTTACTCAGTTTGACCTTCGGCAACTTCCTTGGGTTTCTGAATTAAGTTTCTTCCTCTGGGAAGCCGGAATGATGATGGCTCCATTTCTGAGGATTAAATGAATAATAACCATGAATTGCTTGGTAATACAGGAGCCAATACATTTTGGCTCCTGTATTACATATATTTACAGATACAATTGAGCAAAAAAGAAAAAAAGAAAAATCGAAGCATCCATTATCCCAGATAATCTTTCAGAATTTTGATACGGCTCCACAGTATTTTTGCATGTTGGGATGCTATTTTATATTTCTTCCTATTTTCTCCCCCCACTTAAACTATTGCTATGGAGATCTGTAATTGCTGCAAGATGATTTTGTCAATTCCTTTTCAGAGAAGAATTATTTCTATTATAAAAGCACTTTGATGACATTTTTGTAGAAAATTTAGTATACATTTCTTATAAATTTCTTAAGGACCACATGTCCAGAATTTAGGTTAATGATACACACATTGATAGAGCACTTGATAGAAATTTCCAGATCACTTTCAGTTTACACTCCAGCAGCAATGACTATGGAACTTAGTTTCCTTTGTTCATTGCTTGATCAACACTGTCTACAGAATATAACTACATAATGTCTACAGCAGTTCACAAACTTTTTATTCCTGGCATTGCTTTAATATTGGGTTGACCAAAAGGTTCATTCAGGTGTTTCTGTAACATGGTATGGAAAAACCCAGACAAGCCTTTTGGCCAACCCAATACTTCTGGAAGCATTGAGGGGATCAACGAGATTTTATGTGTGGTTTATCCATCAATATTTACCATATTAGAAAATAAAACTATGAAACTTTCAAGATACTTAACATTAATAATCCCCTTATATGCTGATATAAAGAATACATATTTTATGCAAGACTATATTTTCCCAAAAAAGCACTGTGAGAAGAGTGGCACTATTTTACACTTTGGCACACATTTGGTACACTCTGGCACACATGTCTGGCTTATTAGAAGGCAGCTAAGATTCTCTCTTTGCATTCCAACTGTGCTGATAACCCATGACATACGTGGTGTATGGAAAACTCAACTATGCTCTCGTAAAAAAAAAAAAAAAGAGTTTAAAAGGAAACATTTTAGCAATATTCTAAAAATGGCTTTAACCTCACAGACCACCTGAAAAGGTGACAGGAACTCCTGGAAGTCCCCAGACTATACCTTGAAAACTGCTGATAAATATTAAATACATAGTGACATCTATCTTTCAGGGAGGAAAGGAAATTTAAATTAATTTCAAGACATGGTGGAAATCAGTATTCCATCTTAGTTTGAATTATCTAGGATGTCTTGAAACACTGCTGATGTTGCTGCAAATCATTGAAAACCTACCATTTGCAAATGAGTTAGCTATTATTCAACTAATGTAAGCTCTCCTTCGGTCTGTTTCATGATCATTGCTGTGTTTATGAGTTCTTGTAGACTTCTGATATATTACCATGAATTTCATTGAATAGTTATTGTCATGTTTTTCTTCCCCAAATGTAGTATGGGATCTTATATTGCTTTTTTTACTGCACTACATCTGAAAGAAAAATATAATCTAGAACCAGTACATTTATTTGTGTCAAGTCTAAGCCCTCCTCATGTAAGTAATTTCATTTTCCTTAGGGAGGGTGGTGGGAAGGAGGGAAATGCAGTGGGGAAATCAACTCATTGTTTTCCTTTCTGATGAGTTTTGATCAACAGTAGACATGGTGATGAATAAGATACTATTGGTTAATGAAACACTCACAAATCTCTTTCACTGTCATCTTCTCATCTTTGCTCTGAAATGCACTTTAACTGTTTCCTGGTCAGTGCCTGCACTGGCCCAGGCATCTCCGATGAAAACTATTGATTCTAAGTATATTTTCCTCCATTCTGAGTCAGCAGAGAACTTAACTTTCAGCAAACTAACTGGATCATTCTTTTTTTTTTTTAATAAAAAATGTTTATTTTTGGCTGTGCGGGGTCCTCATTGCTGTGCACGGCTTCCTTTAAGTTGCAGAGAGCCAGGGCTCTTCTCTAATTATGGTGCAGGCTTCTCGCCAGGGCTCTTCTCTAATTATGGTGCAGGCTTCTCACTGCGGTGGCTTCTTTTGTTGTGGAACAGAGCTCCAGGGCACGCAGGCTTCAGTAGGTGTCACACACGGGCTTGGGAGTTGTGTCACACAGGCTGAGTTGATCCGCGGCATGTGGGATCTTCCTGGACCAGGGATTGAACCAGTGTGCCCTGCACTACCAAGGCAGATTCTTTTCCGGTGGTCAGGTACTCCTGTCTGCCTTCAGGTGATGTTCTGTGAGCACTTCTTGTCTGAAGGTGCATTCCTGATGTATCCGTGGAGAGAGATGTACTCCATGTCCACCTATGTCTCCGCCATCTTGTACTCCCCACAAGGCAGATTCTTAACCCCTGGATCACCAGGAAAGCCTTCATCAGAGAACTCTCAAAATCACCAAAAGGGAGAGTAGAGAGCATTCAGGGTCTGAACAGGTGCTTTAAGTGAAATGTCAGAGTAATGTTTTTACTGTTTCATGTCAAAGGCCCAACTTCGCTTCCTCAAAGATGATATGTGTGCTGGACAAATTGACTTTTTACTAAAGAAAATGGGAGGCATTCCTGAGGATTTTGTTGATGATGAGGAACTGAGTCAAGAATCTGTTACCAAAGTGTTAGCAGATCTTCACATTTTGAAAGATGTCATGTAAGTCATTGAGGCATGTTTTCTTTCTTTCTTTTTTTAAAATTTATCTATGGAAGATGCAGGTTGGCTGTTCTCTGAGGATGCTTATCCAGGAAGGCAGAGTTTGACTTGTTTTCTTTTGAGGCCCACCTGTGATATCTTTGCTGCCTTAAAATGGAGCCTGGGCATGGAAATTACATTAATCAAGGATGTACAGGGCATCTTTAGCTTTTTTAAAAAAAATGTGGTTCAATGTGTGTTGGGTTGGCCAAAAGTTTGTTCGAGTTTTTCCATAAGATCTTACAAAATCCCCAAATGAACTTTTTGGCCAATCCAGTATGCTTTATCACGTAAAAAACATTTGTTGACTAAATTACTAATGTCAAAGGATGCTCATCTTCTTAGGGGAACAGCAGAAGGGGATCCCTACTTATTAAATATGTGGAGGCGATCCAAGACAGGGAGTGGTTTGCTTCTTGGGGGAATTTTGTTCCAGAACTCATTTGGTTCCATGACACCTGACTATTTCTGTCTCCTGAGAGGTCACATTGACATTTGATTCTTCTAATAGGACTGAAGTCCTAATGTTCCAGATACTGGCCCTAATAAACTGAAACCACAAGGTTCTTCTTTTTCTAACCTCCCCACAGCAGGTCCTGTGGGGCCAGCATTTGGCCCTCAGTCACTATTATATACCATCATGCATTTCTTCAATTTCATCTGGCTCTTGTCTCCTTTGGGGAGGAGCCGGACACACGGGTCTGTGTTCCTTTTCTTTCTGCCACAAACCCTGGAGCTGAACCTAGAGCCTCCACAGGCAGTGCCTGTGAGTAGAAGTTTATACAAATAGCTTAAAAAAAAAAAAAAGAAAAAGTGTAGCAGACTTGAAGCACCTTGGGAACAGACAATCCTGTTCATTTTTATCACATCTCTGCGTTCACGCCGATGCCCACCTCTACTCCACCACTAGGGGCACTAGCTGCCCTGGTCTGTCATCTCTCTCCATTTCTACGCCAACTGTCTGAGCAAATGTGGTCCCCACAGGGCTGTGCTGTCTGTGTTCCTGGCTTAGCATGAAGTCAGAATCCAAGAAACACCAGTCCAAGTCCGACATCCCCTACTCCCACCAAAGGAAACGTGATCCAAAGCACTGTGGACATTCAGTGAAATAGCGTAGGCAAAAGCTGCTTTTTAATTAAGCCTCACACAAACATCCTTCTGTAGAGGCTGTTCACCAGGATCCAGACCCCTGGCCTAGTGGCTGTGAGATCTGGATCCAGGGTCCCACCTCTCAGAGGAAGGGATGCTGAGAGTAAACCCCTCAAGGCGTGGTAGATGAGGATGCAAGGAGGGCGTGTTTAGGAGATGGCGTGGATATGGCACATGACAAACCACCCTCAATTTTTAAAAATCCAACCCAACAATTCACTACCAGAGGCTCTGGTGACTTTGGGGAATTAACATTTGTTAAGAAGAACCCTGAGTGTTGGAAAGGGAGCCGAGGTTCAACCACAGACCCTGAGAGAAATTGAAATAGAGAAGTTCATGACTCACGGGTCGTGGAGGAGGTCCACGGCGCACCTCGTGGGGCCACACGGGGAGGTCAAGGCGGACTGCAGGCAGAGAAGTGGCCAGACCTGATGGACATGCCCTTAGGCGTGGGTGGAGGGCTTTGGGGCTCCCGGGCTAAGTCCGGATTGGTCAACTTGAACCCCAAAGAGCGGGTTTTGGTCAACTTCATGGGAGGTTTATCTAAAAGGTATACAAGGGAAGGCTCTAGGGGGCCCGGAGCAACTGTCACCTAGGCCGCTGGGGGAGGGTCACAACAGGAACTCACCTGTGTTTGTGACTCTGCACGTGCTCCAGGAAGGCCGAGGGTCAGGTCCAGACTCTCACAAGCTGCCTGGCCACACAGCATGGATGCTGAGGCACCAATATTATAAAGCAGTTTAGCTAAACTCTCAAGAGCTCTCAAAAGAAACCTCCCCCAGACTGAAAATAAAAGTCACTCACGAGGATATTCCACTTGCAGAATTAAAAAAAAGAAGTTTTTTAACAGTCTCACCCTCTCCCCAGCAAATCAAACCTCAAGAGCTACTTATAAGGATTCACTTCCTCTCTCCAAATCTCAAATGTCCTAAGCTTGTTCTGGATTCTCCCCTTTCTGCTTCCTCTCCTTCCCCTTCCTCGGTCTGCTCTCCTCTCTCCAGCTCTCCGCAGCACTCAGCTTTTCCCAATATACATGAAATCAGACCTGAAATGTCTCTCCACCCCTCCTTGCCCATCACCCGCCCCCAAGGCTCAAAGCCTGGATGTCAAAAGGAAAATTCGAGGCAGGAGGGAAGGCTTTGCAGCTCCACTTCACTCAAGCTGTCCTCCTGTCCTACTCGGACGAATGCACAGTCCTCTTCTCTCTCTGGGACCCTGACGACACACAGGTCAGGCTGGCTGTCATCGTCCCAGGGCTCTCAGATGTTCTCCTTTTTTTTTCTTTTCGTTTCAGTTTCGATAATTTCCATTAACCATCTTCATGTTGACTGATTCTTTGCTCAGCCATTATCAAATCTACTGAATAGCTTGTCAAAGGAATGCCCTGTCGCTGCTGCTGCTTATTTCTAGAATTTCTTTTGGACTCTTTCTTGCAGTCTTCACCTCTTTAATGAACTTCCCCATTTGTTCACATATGTCCATTTTTTCCATGAAATCCTTTGGCATCTCCATCATAGCGACTGTCAAGCCCTTCTCTGACAATTCCAACATCTGGGTCTTATTTGAGTCTTGTGCGTGTGTGCTAAGTCACTTCAGTCGTGTCCGACTCTTTGCAACCCTATGGACTGTAGTCCGCCAGGCTCCTCTGCCCATGGGGTTCTCCAAGCAAGAATACTGGAGTGGGTTGCCATGCCCTCCTCCAAGGGATCTTCACCATCCACGGATTGAACTGGAGTCTTTTATGTCTCCTGCTTTGGCAGGCGGGTAATTTACCACTGAGCCACCTGGGAAGTCTTATTCTTTTAATTACTTTGCCTCTTAACAATGGAGGTTATATATTGCTTTTTGTGTCTGATAATTTTTTTTTTATTTAAAGCTAGGTATCATGCATAAAACAGATATTCTATTGAAGGATATCATGCATGGAACTGACATAAATATACTTTATGATTTGAGCACATCTCCTCCGGCAGGCCCTGAATGTGGGGAGTTGGGTCAGTCCAGACTGGAGAGGAGCTGAGTTTTGGTTTTGTTGCTACTATGGTTACATTTCAGGGCAATGGTTCTCCCAAGTTACTGTGTGCTTACTGTGGAGACTAGACTGGAGGATTTTTCTCAATTTTTCTGTCTCTCTCCAGGCTCTCCCCAACTGACAGCTGTTGTTTGGTCCCCTATGTGTGATGCTAGCCTCTGGGGTAACACTGGGAGCTCTTGGATATCCGAGCCAATCTTCAGCTTCAGTCTTAGTCAGGTCCTCTGTGTCTAGGCCTTGTGGGTGGGTCTGGTGGGTATTAGGTGGAAGTTTCCAGTCCCTCCCCAGAAGTAGAAGACTTTCCCTTGACTTTTGTATAGAATTGGGGGCCTGGTAGCTCAGCTGGTAAAGGATCCACCTGCAGTGCAGGAGACCCTGGTTTGATTCTTGGGTCACGAAGGTCCCTTGAAGAAGGGATAGACCACCCTCTCCAGTATTCTTGAGCTTCCCTGGTGGTTCAGATGGTAAAGAATCTGCCTTCCTGTGGGAGAACTGGGTTTGACCCCTGGGTTGGGAAGATCCCCTGGAGGAGGACATGGCAACATACTCCAGTATTCTTGCCTGGAGAATCCCCATGGACAGAGAAGCCTGGCGGGCTACAGTCCATGGGGTTGCAAAGAGTTGGACATGACTGAGTGACTAAGCACAGCACAGGGTGCCCAAGACCCTTCCCATTCCTTCCCCCAGGGTAGAGGGTTAATGCTTCCATCCCCTACATCCATGGGTCTTCCCATGTGCCCTGGGCGGGGGGCGTGCAGGGGGTGTTTGATGCCCCTCCTCCAGCAACTGAAATTTCTGCTTAGTAGGAGGGGAGGGCTTGACTGGGGGCAGGGTTAGTGTCCATCTCATGGTCGCATCCAATTTCCTGCTGTCCACCTGCCCAGCAGAGAGGGCTATTTCTGACCTCCTGCCTGTTCCTAGTCTTTCTTGTGAACCCCTCATGGGGGGCCACGGACAGAAGCCTGTGAGTCAGTGTGAACTGCCTCTGACACATCACCCCACGCTTGGTCCCCAGCACTTGAGCATTTGTAGCTTGTTCTTTCTCACCCACATGGACAGCAGACACCCCTTCATCCTGTGCTATGCCCACATGAGCCAGTCCGTGTGACCCACCTCTCCTTAGCGGGGCCCAGCCTTCCCTGGAGTTCGCTATCTGGTTTGCCTTGCAAACTCAGCTTCCTGATGAGCTCAAGAATTTATGGTTTTGCAGTTTGTCGGGCATTTTTCCTTGTTAGGCTGCAAGGGGTACTCCTGGTTTTCTACATTCCAGGCAGAAGTGGGAATTCTTGCCCGGACTATTGAAAGAGACAACCCTTTGTCCCCTTCTCTGTTCTACACATTGTACCAAGAGGGATGACTGTCAAGTCCGGTCATGATGTGCCTTGCCCTAAATCCTCTTGGTGGCTTTCTGACTCTCTTAGGATGACCAGATCCCTTCAGGAGACCTACACGTGGCCCTCGCTTGCTTATTATTCTGTTTTTTGGTCACACCACGTTGCATGTGGGATCCTAGTTCCCTGACCCAGGGTTGAACCTGCACCCCTTGCATTGGAAGCTTAGAGTCCTAACCACTGGACCACAGGAAAGTCCTCTTGCTTCCTTCTTCTACCTCAATTTGTCCCAATCCTCCATTCACTCATGGAACAAAAGCCACCTGGTTTGTGCTCTGGCCCCTTTCTCTGGCATCTCTGCCCGTTGCCGAGTTTTTCCTGTCTATTCAGATCTCAAGTCTAACCCCATGTTCCAGGGAGTCCCTGCTGGATGTCACTCCACCCCCACTTGTCAAGTGTTCACAGATCACCCTGAACTTGGTGACCCATCTGTTCAGTCGTCCGGCGACTTCATTAACGTCTGTCTCCCCAGCCAGTCTCTAAGCGGCAGGAGGAAAGGGGCTGTGCTTACCCAAGTGTCCCTAGGGACTAACACAGCCCCCAGCACCAGCTCAGCAAATGGTTTCCTGCTGTTTTGATGAAACTGAGAATTGGCAGAATCAACTCAGGGGCCCTCTGTCCATAAATCTGCATCTGTTCTGCACACAGCAACCCTATGCCAAACAATGGAGGGCTGGGGGATAGAGAAGTGGCCATTTCAGGGGAATGACAGTTGAAGATACTATATAACCAGCCCCATTTTGAGTTGGACTGGGTGTCCAGGTGCCACCTGCCTGCACCTGGCTGTTCTAGAAGCCAGAAGATCTTGGAAAATAACCTGGACCACAGTGACTGTCAGGTGCTGACACATAAAAGTGCCATGGATAAAAAAAAATAAAATAAAATGTTGGTATTGCTGTAAACAGCAAAAGGGAAGGAAGTGAGGACTTTGATTTAAATGAGATTATTAATAGGAAAAGATTCTATGGGGTGTCTATTATGAAATGTTACCAACCGGCACCTTTATATTTGCAGCTATGGCACACACTCTAAGACTTGTCTTTCTTGTGACATAACATGCTTTTCTGGATCTGAAGATATACCAGTGGATATGGAAGGTGAAATAATTTTGATGGCTTGAGGTGTTTTATTGAGATATCTGATGATTTCCATGCCAGAGGTGCTGGCAGGCCTTGCAGCACAGATCTGATTTTTTTAAATGTCCTGTACTAGTACATAAATCCAGCCGTGCACCTTTTTTCATACACTACAAGGGGATGTGTAATATCCATGCTTCTTTTTTTATCCTTAAACTATTGCCATACTTCAAGTAAGTGTCTTTTTAGAAAAATTCACTTGTATAAAAATGGCCTGGTCAGTACAGGGCACAAATGCCAAACAAAAGTATTAGTGTTAAAAACAACAACAATAAACCTCTCAACTGGCATCTCAGTTGCATGGAGTAGAAAACTGGTCCCAGTTTTATCTAGTGTAAATGGAGAGATGTCAGTTCTGTGTAAAATGAGAGAAGGCAGGTAATACCACTGTGTACTGAGAGGTCTCTGAGAAATTAAAAATTCAGGATGCACAGAACATGAAACCATGGAAGTAACCCTACCACCAATGTCAGCTCTTAGAAAAGTAACACCTGGAAGTAAATCTGCGGGTGGTGGAGTCACTTGTTATTAAATACAATTCTGTTTTTTCAGCCTGGAAAGATGTAACCAGTGGAGATTTTGACAGTTTTGTGCTTCCAGGACACCACTTCTATCTTCTGGAAACTTCCAACACAAGCTTCATCAAGAAATACATAACCAAGTCTCTAGAAATATCAGTGCTTACTTCTTGACAGATATCTCCCCTCCTTGGTCTTAAAACAGTCCCACTGATCATGTGATACTCTTCTTCAGTTTTTCAGAGTAGCTTAGGAGTTTGTTTCAGAGATTGGAAAATGATCAATTTACTGCTGTCAGGGTGACGTGTTATCTACAAATGTATTTCCCCACAGAGCATTTACATATCTGGGGGATGCAAGATGACTGGGTCAAGAATACTTTCGGGAGGGTCTTTCTTCTTTGTATTAGAATCACATTTGGGTCTCATCTGTGGAAGGTTTGTCAATGAAGTTCCTGCTTGGTCAATGATTTGTCTCTTCCTTTCGGTTATTCTGACAGTGAAAATCACAGACAGGGGAAGTGCTTGAAATGAAATGACTGTTTCATTAACACACTGTGGCCCAAAGCTTGATCTCATCTTTTGAAATATAGGGTGACCCCATTCAATGAGGAAATGTTAAAATAAGACAGCCCTAAATAATCATTGCTGCCTGTCCCCAGGCAAGTCCCTGGAATGCCCGTAGCCTTCTTAGGTTCTCTTCTAAGGGGTTCCTCCAACCTGGACTGCCTGCTGTCTCTGTGTGTTCCTGCTGCTGTTCAGGCAATGACCAACTGGGACTCGGGTGACTGTTTGGGGTCTAGTCCTCGGCGTACAGAGGGTCAGGCACAAATGCCAGACCCAGCAGGCTGCCTCAGCTTCATGTGTTATCATCTGAACCAGACAGAGAAAGAAAGCACACCAGTTGGAAACATACAGAAAAGAAAAGGGAAAAAATTAAGTAGGAGAATGATCTGAGTCAGAGCAACAGCAGACCACCACTGGTAGGATTCACAGACGCCTACTGCCCAGGATGGAGAGGCACCATATCCCCAGGGCTACGTGAGTCCTGCCATCTCTGCCGAGGCCCAAACAGTGTTTGTCTCTTGGAATCCTGGCTGTTTAATTGGCACCTTGATTTGTTATCTCCCTTGGTTCTTCACAATAAAGCCCCTACTGCATGCAACCAGTGTCTCTTCCTTACGGCTTCCAAAGCTTGACACAGCTTGACATGCTAAAATGTCACCTTCTAAAGCATGGATGTGTTTGGGATCACATAATAATAGGTCGTGTTTTTGTTGGTTTAAAAATAGTATATAGAGAGTCTTAGTGAGTAAGATTAAGGGAAATACACCCAAGAGGGACTTTTTAGAATATAGCATTCTTTTTAATATTTATTTACTTGGCTGCAGTGGGTCTTAGTTGCAGCATGTGAACTCTAAGTTGCAGCATGTGGGATCTAGTTCCCTGACCAGGGAACAAACCTGGGCCCCTGCATTGGGACCTCTAAGCTTTAGCTACTGGACCACCAGGGAAGTCCCCATTGTTTCTTTTTAACAAAGTGAAAATAATATAAAATTCATTGTCAGGGGGGAGGGTTTTGAGTTAAAATTCATGTAATACATTTGAGTTAAAGGTAACCTCAAGAAACTGTTCACCGTTTAGTGTGCACTGAACTGTGCTTTACTCTTTGGTAGGATACAGGGCTCCGTTCTAGAAGGATTGGTGCTAAAAGAATCTAGATTTGTGATTATTCATTTGAACAACCTGTAGTTACTACAGTCCACAAATAGGAATCTCATGATGCGGCCGATGCCAGGCTTTTGGGGTGGAGGTGAGGTCCACGCAGGAACAGCTCAAAGAGTTTCTGAGCCCTCCATTGGAAGAGGGTGTCACTTTCATCGTGGAAGACTTCTGTCTTTAGGCAACACTTAGTAGAGAGGAGAATCACCTTTAACTTTCCCAAGTTTTCCAGATTAGAAAGCAAGCTAGATTTGTTTTTCAGAGAAGCCAAAAGAACAAGCTTTTTGTGTACACACATACACTACACTAAAAACTAATGTTTTTGTGTACACACTACAAGAGCAACACTTTAAAAATAATTCTTTAAAATTGCCTGGTTTTAGCAAGTAAAATTTTATTAAACATGTAGTTTCAGCATACCTCTAATTCAGAATGACAAGTCATGTTACTAGCAAAAATATTGATGATCCATCAAGAGCTACAGTGCATTTCTCTCCTAAGTATTAGGTCACGATACCATTATGAAAGCTTCAAAAGGAAAATTCTCTCACGGGCTGAATTCTAGATTCCGTATTTTTCTATTAGTTCTTTTGCTTTAGAAATATAGGCATTCATGGCATCTTCCTTTGATAATCCTAGAAAGATACAAAACAGGTTGACTCACCGACCGATGTATGTGGAAATTAAGAAGGTTCATGTAACACTTAAAAACTACCTTTCTGAAGGTTCCAGGCTTCCCACTTAGCCTTTCCTTTTAGATCTAACAGTGCTGGACACTCTGCCAAAAGGACAGATACATTCACAGAGTTACTTGTTATTCTATGCTTCTATACTGTTCAACGAAGTGTACTGTTATTTTTTAATATGACAGCACAATACCAATATCTATGTCTCCAGTTACAGACTGTTTGTAGAGTCCATAGATCTCTTTTAGTTCCTCATCATCTGGCCTGGTTTTCAGCTTCCTCACGTCTTTGGCCGCCTTGTCAAAATCAGCCTAAAACAAAAAGACACAGTGCATTTGCTAACTTTAGGCAGGTTTATCTGCTTCAGGAGAACTTAAAGAGGACAGGAAGCTTTCAATCAGAAATGAACTATTACTGTTCTGGTTCTACCGAATTATCCTTATTTTAATTTGTGGATACTTCCTTTGGTCCTTACCTGTTACACGGACAATGCACCTACATATTTGATACAGAGAACAAAATAAAATTCTTAATATTTAAAATGTTTATCTAAATGTTTAAAAACTGAAGAATACATAAATAAATGGAAAGATACTCCCTGTTCTTGAATAGAAAAAATTAATAGTAAAATTTTCATCTTACCCAAAGTCATCAACAAATTCAATGCACTTCATTATCAAAATTCCAATGGCATTTTTCACAGAAAGAGAAAAAGCAATCCCAAAATGTGTATAGAACCATAAAAGCTAAAGCAATCTTGAGAAAGAAGAACAAAGCTGGAGGCATCACAATTCCTTATTTCAAATGATATTACAAGCTGTGGTAAGCAAAACAGTATGGTACTGACATAAAAACGGACACAAAGATCCATGGAACAGAGTGAAGAGCCGAGAAATAAACCCATGCATATATGGTCAATTCATTTTGTTCTGCCCGTAGTCCCCGAAGACTCCTCGAAACAATGCAACTTGCAATAGGGGAATTTATTACTGACTCGAGCCAGGGCCTCCCGCCCTCACCAAGGGTGTGAGGACGAAAAGGCCCCGAGCCCCAGTTCTCTCGGGTATTTATTAGGTCAAAAAAAGCAGCAGGTAGTTGGCGCAAGCGGATTGGTTACACAGTTGCAAGGCAATTTTTGTTGGCCCAACGTGGGGCCTTCAGCTTTCCCCTGATAGGTTCCCTTTTTCTTGCTAGGCATATGTTGATTGGCTAGCTCCAGGAGGCCTGATAATTATGTTACCGCGGGAAACCAGGCCTACTCCTAATCTAGGCTGCCTGTCATGGCGTTAGCCGTGACAGCCTCACATTTCCCCCGTCTTTGTACTTTTGTAGAGGAATCTTTCTCTTCACCCTGTGAAATTGACTGATATTGTTGTCTCATTACCATAATTTGGATGGTATTTAGGCGCTCCCTGATAAATGAGACCAGACGGTTTAAAATGCATGGACCAAAGGTCAGTAACAATATTAATATTATGAGTGGACCCAGGAGGGTCGAAATCAAAGTGGTCAACCAGGGGGAGCGCTGAAACCAAGATTCAAACCAGCCTTGTTGGGCTTCTCGTTTTCTCTTCCGCTGGGCTCGTCCCTCGCCTACTTTCTGGAGAGATTTTTGTACCACCCCTGAATGGTCGATGCAGAAACAGCATTCTTCTCCCAGTGCTGCACATAATCCTCCTTGTTGCAGAAACAACAAATCTAAACCTCTCCTATTCTGTAACACTAACTACTTCAGCCAAGGAGCTCAGGGATTAATGAGGTCCTTGTCGGAGTTAGTGAGCCAATGGACTGTTCCCGTGGTTTCGCAACCCCAAGCGGCGCAATAAAAAGAGTCAACTCCCCCACATTTTTCAATTTGGTTCCGATCCTTTCTTCCCGGGCAGACATAGACAGGCACCTGTTCGTAGTACTGTGGGCCTTTTCGCTCACAGTTACGGGTGAATGGACCGAAAGAGCCGTGGGCAAAGAACTTGGCCAGTTGGTGGGGACCAAACCCATTACCGTCAGCCGCCAGCACGCACAAATCAAAGGTCAGTACTGGCTACCATGTCCCTTTGGAGGCCACGTTGGAGCTCGAATTAAGCATTTCTCCTGTCTCAGGATTGTAGATCACCCAAGTCAGGTTAGCCGGCTGATGGGGGTTGTGGCTGGTTGCTCCCGGGCCGATGAAAACTGTTATCAGCAGGAGAGTTAAGAGGGCTCCCGTCGTACGAGTTTCAGTTTCAAAGGATTTGACGGGTGAGGTCTTGCCTCCCATTCTGCTTGTGCCTTCTCCTGTTCTTCCAGGGTGGCTTGCCGCACGTGATTGCAGTGAACCCAGGGCCCGATCCCGTCGACCTTAACAGCAGTAGGAGTGGTAAGGAGAACAGCATAAGGGCCTTTCCATCTAGGTTCTAATGCTTTAGATTGGTGTTGTTTTACCCAAACCCGATCACCCGGGCCAATATTATGTGAGGGGATGGTCCCCTTGCTTGTTCCCTCGTGTATCTCTCGAATTAATTTCCAAACATGGCTATGCATCTTACTTAATGCCATCAGTGTTTGCTGGAATTGTCCCAAGGTAGGGGGTGGTAGGCATTTTCCCTCGAATATAGGACACACAGGAGGGGGTCTTCCATACAGAATCTCAAAAGGGGTAAGATTCAGCTTATAAGGGGTGTTACGCGCTCAAAAGAGCACGAAGGGAAGGAGGGTCACCCAGTTCCCGCCAGTCTCTATTGCCAACTTTGTCAAAGTTTCTTTTAGGGTCCGATTCATTCTCTCAACCTGTCCTGAGCTCTGGGGATTAGATTCACAATGTAACTTCCATTTTGTCCCCAGAGCTTGGGCCAGCCCTTGTACAATCTGGCTCACAAAGGCAGGTCCATTATCAGAGCCCATAGTCACTGGCAGCCCGTACCTAGGCACTATCTCCTCTAAGATCTTTTTAGCAACCACTGTTGCTGTCTTTCCCTTAGTGGGGGAGGCTTCTACCCACCCCGAGAAGGTATCTACCAGAACCAACAGATAGCGGTACCCGTACTTGCCTGGCCTTACCTCAGTGAAATCTATCTCCCAGTGTTGCCCTGGCTCTTCCCCTCGGTACCTCATTCCCGTGTGCTGCCTTTTCCCTGTCCTCATCAGCTGGCACGCTTTGCAAGCCTGGATTATCTCTCGTACAGTTGCATTTTGTCGAGGGAACCTCAGGCAGGCTGTCTGGAGAAGTGTCAAGGTCTTTTTTTCCCCCAAGTGTGTAGTTGTGTGCAGGTGTTCACATAGATGAGGACCCAGGATGGCAGGCAATATCAGGTTTTCGAGCTGCCAGGGCCTCAGCCAGTATCTCACTGGCGGCTGCTTTAAAACCCCTTCGATGGTGTGGGGGGTGTAAACCCAGAGTTGTTGTCCATATGTCAACTTGTCAGCGTCGCGGACGAGGAGGGCAGTGGCTGCAATGATGCGGAGGCAAGGGGGCCACCCAGAGGCCACCGGGTCTAATCGCTTTGAAAGGTATGCCACCGGCCGCTTCCATGGTCCCCATTGTTGCGTCAAGACCCCCTTTCCTATTCCTTGCTTTTCATTTACAAACAGCTTATTTGGGTTAGGCAGGGCAAGGGCTGGAGCTCCTAGTAGGGCCTGTCTGAGTGTCTGGAAAGCCTGTTTCATTGGCTCAGTCCAAGTCCAGTTTGGGGTCTCTTTACTTCCCTCATACAAGGGCCGGGCCTTCTCAGCAAACCCCATGATCCACAGTCTACAATATCCAACAGTCCCCCCAAATTTTTTCACCTGATGGGGGGTCTTGGGCTCTGGTATCTGCAATATTGTTTCCTTCAAGGCCTGAGTTAGCCACCTTTGCCCCTGCCTGATCTTATACCCCAAATAGGTGACCTCTTGCCAGGATATTTGCACCTTCTTTGCGCTAGCACGATATCCCAAGGTGCCTAGAGTCTATAAGAGGTCACCGGTGGCACGGCCGCATGCCTCCTCTGTGGTTCCAGCCAACATAAGGTCATCCACATATTGCAGCAGGATGACCTCTGGGTGGCGAGTCCGATATTCATAGAGGTCCTCACTCAAAGCCTCATTAAACAAGGTAGGGGAGTTTTTGAACACTTGTGGGAGGCGGGTCCAAGTTAGTTGTACTACCTGTTGGCCTTCCCCCTCAGTCCACTCAAAGGCAAATATCTCCTGGCTCTGGGCTGCCAGCAGTAGGCTGAAAAAAGCATCTTTCAAGTCCAACACAGTGTACCAAATGTACTCAGGCAGCAGACTGCTCAGGAGGGTATACGGGTTGGGGACGGTAGGGTGTATGTCACTCACCCGCTTGTTGACTTCTCGCAGGTCTTGGACAGGTCTCTAATCTGTCCCCCCTGGCTTCTTCACCGGCAGTAAGAGGGTGTTCTAAGGGGATTGGCACCACTTTAGAATTCCGGCATCTATGAGCCGTCGAATGTGGGGAGTGATCCCCCGCCAAGCCTCCTGGCTCATAGGGTATTGCCTCATCCTCACAGGAGTCGCCTCGGCTTTTAGTTCGATGACGACCGGATGTCTCTGTTTAGCCAGTCCCATTCCTGCTGTTTCTGCCCATGCCAACGGGTATTTGTGGACACATGGTTGTATATCTGGTTCTATAACCTCTGAGGGCTTAGGCACAAAAAGTCTGTATTCATCTCTTAAAGCTAGAGACAAGACATGTATCGGCTGTCCAAGTCCATCCGTGACTGACATTCCCCCAGGGTCAAAATGGATCTGAGCATTAACTTTAGTCAACAAGTCCCATCCAAGTAGAGGGGCTGGGCCTTCTGGTATCACCAAAAACGAATGGGACACCTGGTGGGTCCCCGGATTTACTTTCCGTTTCATGGTCCAATAATATCTTTTTGTCCACGTGGTTCCCTGCACCAAGCTGGTTTTCTTAGACATTGGTCCCAGTTTTTTATTTAAAACAGAGTGTTGGGCGCCAGTGTCCACCATGAAGCCAACAGGTTTCCCCTCCACATGTATGGTTACCCAGGACTCGGGGAGGGGTGCTGAGTCTTAACTCCCCTAGTCACTGTCTTCCCCCGCATATAGAACTCGAGTTCCAGGGGAAATTCTCTCTCTCTGGGTTGTTCCTCTTAGGGCACTCATTTTTCTAGTGCCCCCATTCCTTGCAGTAAGCGCACTGATCTTTTTTTAGGGCCTGCCTTTTTGGTCTTTTTCTCCCATCTGGGGGCCTCGAGGCTCCCTCAGTTCTGTTTCAGCCTTCATCCCCGCAAAAAGAATCTTGGCTAGCTCTCTCTGGTTCTTCCGGTTTTCCTTCACCCTATGTTCCCTGTCTTCTTTCCTGATCTCC